TTTTTTTGTATGATGTATACTAATCACTCAAAACGATCATACCTAGCACAGACCTTTGTAGTTGAAATACTTTTTATACATTAATACTATGTATTATTTTTAGCTTATATTATTCAAGGATACTGTATAATGAAGGATGATAAAATGTATGTTAAAAATGAAATATATAAGAAACATAAGTCATTTAAGGTAAAGATAAATTTTTTTTTAAAAATTGGCAATTAAATTTTACAAGGTTAATTAAATTTTCTGATAAATCTGAAAATCAATAGAATTTTATAACTAAAAACAACTATTCAGAATAAAAACTAATTAGGTATTTATCATTGCTTAATAAATAATGTGTAATCTAGTAATATATAACTATTCCATTCCTTTAAATGTATATTTTATTAATAATAAAAAAAGCTATGTGAAACATGTGGTGCACTTGAAAGGAAAACACCAAAATTTATGCTGAGTAAATAAGGGCTTTAAATATTTTGTCACTGTTGAATAATAATAACAAAATATAATTGCGCATTTTATTCTTACTAATATTTATAAATATATTTTTAGACTTTTAAATTATGTGTTAAGTATTTCAAGTAAAAAATACTAGATCTAAAAAATACTAGTTTTAGCAATTGAACTGACTTGTAAATAAAAACTAGATTCAAAACTAAATTAAAAACAGTCAAGTAACTAAATATACATATTGCATAAGTTATACACGCTACGTAAATAACAATGTAAATTATTTCTAAAACTTTAAGTAAATAAAAAGATGCATTATTCCATTTAAAAATAATTTCCAAATTATTTTGTTATTAAAGCAACTTATTTGGCACAAACAAAACTGCTTGTTGTTGATATGATGCGACTACTTTATATGGTATATAAGTTACAATACCCAAACAATTAGTAAAATTCTTGTCCAGAGCCTCAAAGGAAATGAGCGATTATACATATATAGTCAAACCTCATTAACGTAAATTTGTTTTAACCAGAAATGGCATAAGAATATAATGATTTTAAGGACTTATAAGGTCTCTCTTAATGTGAAATATCTTTTAAACTATAATTCCTAGGGAAATTTTTTCTAATCTTGGGAATTTGTTTCACATTTAATGTAAAAAGAAAGATTATTTTCACTCTGATTGACAAAGAAACTGATGATAAGATTGATAATTTCATTTTTACAGCTGTGAAATGAAAGAGTGTTGGGGGCATGATTTAACATTCTCATTTATAAAATATGAAATAGGCTATGCCCTTTATAATTCATCATGAAAAGAAAATTTTCTTTAGCCTCAGAAATGTTAAGGGAGATAGTTTTACCAAAAATGTAAAGAAGCCTGTTTTCTGAAGAAAAAAAATTAATAGGAGGATCATTTCTCCCTTACTCACACAGATTATTCTGAGAAATTGATAGTACTGATTCACATATTTCTACAGATGAAAAATGTGTTCATTGATAAATACTGTGGGTTAATGGTCAACATTTCTTTCTTTTTTTTGTAAAAAAGGAACTGCAAAGTACAGCAATCTTTAATGTACAAAAAGAAATAAGAAATTCTGGACGAAATTAATGATGGCACATAAAAGAAGACAGAAATAGCTCTGAAACCTGGAGTTGTCAAATGCACAATATCGCAGAGTATTCAAAATAGGCACTATAACCTTTCTCGCAAGGAAAATTTGAACCACAAAGAAAACGTATGAAAGTAGCAAAGGATGAAGAAATCAAAGATTTATTCTAATGGTTTAAAGGGATGCTCAGGTCTAAAATTTTATTCTTTCTGATTCTATTCTGCATGAAAAAGCCTGTTATTTTGTGAATACTTAAAGTAAGAGTTTTTTACTTTAAGACTTTTTAAGTAAAGAGACTTTTTTACTCATTCTTCAGAATAACGGCAAAGATTTAAAGATAGACAGTCAAAAATTTGTAAGAAAGTGTCTGATGAAGAAGGGAGTGTTTGTGAGGAAGCTGTAAGAGAGCTATTAGGAAAAAGATTACTTTCTATTAAGGCTGAATATCCAGAAAATTGAACTTTGCTGAATCAAACGTTATAAATTACAGGTTCTTTCGGATGGCAAAAACAACAAAAAGAAAACCATTGCATTAGTTGCATGCAACATTAACGGTTTTGAGAAATAGCCATCAATTGTCATTTAGGAAGCTTAAAAAATCATTATCATATTTGACATAACAGCACAGGACCAAGTTCTTTTCTTGAAGACCTGTTTATTGACATTAAATGCTTGTTCTTCAACGTCAAAAAAACTAAAATTTTTAAAATTTCAGAAGCAGTATTTGATGTATGAGGCAATCAGAAAAGCTGGAGTTACAGCTAATATTTTTCTTTAATGGTTACAACAACTGAATCAGAAATTTCAAGAGCAAAAAATATATTTGCTCCCAGTCAATTGTACTGCCCGTCATTTTATTCTTTCTATTCTACCATATGATGTTTAAAGGGGTATTACAGAAGAAATTTTTTTTCCAGGTGTTCAGTCTTGACACAGAAAAAGATTTCAACAAGAGGCTCCAACGTGCCTTACAATTGCTACAAAATGCCAGGAAATTTCCACAGAAACAATTTAAAAAAGTTTTGGAAAAGAAGGATTTTCAATATGAGTGAACTTCAACATATTCGATGAGAGAGATCTTGTTGCCTTTCAGAATCTTTCACATTTTCTAAGTAAAAGACTAACTTTCAATCTAATTCCTTTATTGTGAGAAAATAAAAGTTATTAATGTATTATTAAATGTAAAATAAAAAGGCATTTACAAACATAAAATATATATTATTCTGCATATTCAAAATGAGAATGCTTAGAAAATGTTAAGTTACATTAAATCAATATTAAATTTCAGTTTATATTAACAATCTTTATAAAAAAAATCAAGAGCTGATAACGTGAATAATTTCTTGCACCTCTTCAAGTTAACATTTATAAGGTTCATCTATATATCTATTGTATTAACCAAGAGTCAATTTACTAATAGATTTACAGAGATAATCCTCCCAATCAAATGTAAAAGATCAATACTATAAAAACTCTGAAATCTTAAAGTTTTTACTTTCTTTGACTTTCACTGAAAGTACTTAGTGTCGCTGGCCAATCATGCGTATAAAACAAAGATTAGCAAGAATAAAATAAACATGTAAAAGAAATTTTCTCTATTTCACTTAGAAATAATAGAAATGATACTTATTTAAAAGAATAAGATCTTCAAAATTATTTTAAATGATTAATAAAGCCCTATTGACTTACTGTTAATATAAGTGTAGTCAAAATTAATGCAAGTACATACCCCAAAAGAGATTAGTTGTTTTTGTCAATATAGTATGAAAAGGAATATGTATTATATATATATAAAATATAAAAAGATTTAACAAATCTTTCTGCATTATTTTAAAAATAAATTAGAGAATGCAGAGCTAAAAATAAAAAGCTTTTCCCTTAAGGAAATAACAAGTTATGTGGGAAAACTCTAACAGATTATTCTGTGGATTATAATTAATGAGTTATCCCTTATAGCACTTGCAACCGAGATGAATTACAAATTTTCCCTTTAAAATTCCTGTAATATATAAGATGAATCAGATTGTTTTTGGTGAAATTGGTTTTCTCCCATTGTTTTAAAATGATCAAATAAAGGACATCTTTTAACCAGCATGCTTGCTTTATTTCCTTGCTCGGCCAGACTATCATTTATATTCATATATACAGTGGAAAGTCTCACTTACAGAATGATTGGGACTTCGGCAAGTTCAGAAAATAGATTTTTCTGGATAATAGGTCTTTAAAATAAGCAAACATAAAACATGCGTTATTCCATAAAAAATATAACAAATGGTCAATAATTAACTTCAAATTTCTACAACAGAATTTTCTTATAGACTGAATGACAGTTATGAAACTAAAGAATGTTTAGTATGATAATATATATATTTAAAAAATAAGTAAGAGTGAGCTGAGGATAATTAGAACTTTTTCTTTCATGAATAAATATAATTTTTTCCCCCTCTTCCTTCTCTTTATGTTGCGAAGGATTAGCAGCACAAATTATAAGATAAAAATATAAATAAAAGAGATACCTCAAATTTCATAAATAAATTAATCTGATTTGATAAAAAAAATCTAAAACAAGAAACAGAATTGAGTAGATTATTTAATGAAAACATCTATAATTTAAAGCAAAATAAATCTTGTCTGCTGTTGTTCTTTTCAAACACTATTAATATTCATCATCATTTATGTTCATAGTTTATTCTTCTCTCCAAAGTTTATTTTTTTTAAACTGCTCGTCTTTTTAACAACTTTTTTAGTGTGCATATTGAAGCATAATAAATGTTTAGCTATAAGAAAAACAGCAAGAAAGAATAATAAAAAAATATTTACTAATACTTTTTTTAACAATTCACGAACATAAAAAAAAAAAATTATTTAAAAGATAAAGTTTCATTTATTTTTATACTTGAAAAGTTTCTGCTATCAGTAAACAGACGTCCGGATATGGGACCGGATTTAAAAATGTATTTTGTGACAGCAAACGCATGTAGACGTATACACTAATTAATCACGGTTATTACACAACTAACAGTGGTACAGCTAGATAATGATAGATTATACTGCATATGTAAATTTTCATAAAATTAGAATATAAAATTTTGAATTTGATTCACCTGTCATATTTTAATTTAAATATGCTTCCTTTGAATTGATATATTCCATCCTAATACTTCATGTATAACAAAAAAGAAAAAAAATTTATAGATAACATTATAAAAATTATTAAATACATTATCATTATTGAAATAATAGCATGCAAATTTCTAAACAAAATTTTTTCCTATAAAGTTTTTACTCAAAAACTTATTTACAAATGCCTACGAGCTTGCCCATCTTTAATAAATATGATGGAGACATTCTCTTCAATTATAGAAAATTCACTTAAAAAGTGTACTACAAATGAACACGTAAAAATCAAAGGAACTATATTGCCAGAAGCATTTCCTATTTACTTTAATTAGCATACATTAAAAAAAGGACAGTAGTGTTGTGCAAAGTAAAAACAAGCAATTAAAGGAAAAACAAATATTTTTTGTCACACAACAAAAATTAAGACATAACTTAAAATACATAAATTCTACTTCAAATATTCCATTTATCAGATTTTTATGGTAAAAGAGATTTCTTGGGAACCATTTCCTTTTTTAAATAACTTTGGCATTTACAATTAAGAGGGCACTTTAATTATTAACAGGAGAAAATGCTGCCTTCACCAAAAATTTGTAACAATATACAACAGAAAGCTATTTTACATTTCTTAAATTTATTGAATCTGTAATTAATTTTTCTTTATTTTATATTCGTATATCAATAAAGAGAAAAAAATTTATCATTTATTAACTTTAAAGGTTCTCTTGGTGTCTACTTAACACAAAAAACAAAATCATAAATTACATCATAATTTTATACAGTCTTCTGAAATCATGACCAGAAATTGAAACAGAATATGCACTTATAATAATTTCAGTCACAAAAACATCATATACATAACGAATGAAACAAAATAGATAGTTACAAGTTCAATTTTCAGTAAATTATACTTAAAAACTGCAGAAAAAACCTTTAGTACTTGCGTGAAAGTAAACATTAAACAAAAGAAAATCAACAAATTAATCTTAAACTTGTAACAGAATAAACATAGAAAACCCAAAGAAAAATAACTTATAATTAGCTTTTTTAATACCTCTAATATTACAGGTAAGAATATTAACAATATAGGGTCAGACCCTAGGTTACTGAAAGTAATGGGTTACACTTACATTTCCAACCAAAGTGGCTATGCTCCAGGGAGAAATTGTCACCATCTTTTTTAAGTGAAATATGTGAATAATAAATAGAAACAATTTATTCAATTAATAAAAATAATGTGTAGTGGAGATTGCTGCATTTCAGACCAATTTTAATTCTTTATTTTTATGCAAAATGTAATGGTACAATAAAACCTGGCCTAAACAGACCCTTAATTTAACAGAACTTTGATTTTAGCAAAAATATTGTTTGGTACCTTGATGAATAAAATGCATGTAAAATTAGACAAAAACTGTCAAACATGGAAAATGGAAGTCAAAATGGAGGTTTATATAAAAAAAAATTCTTTTGAAAATTTACAAATAATTTTGTTTCTGAAAACATTTTCCCTCATTAGTTTAATTAATTGAATAAAGACAGCCAAGAAATGGCATATTACAAAAAGGCGAAAACTTTAATTATTCAAAAGGTGCAACAAACAATAATTAATGCACTTTTTAAGTAACACAAATGATCATTAAACAACCTTTTTCCATAACTAATTTGATCATTAATAATCAATTGAGTCGTGGATTGCTAACTTGCACCTACACTTCACAAATATAAACCAGAAAACATAAGAAATGGTGACAAAACTAGTCTCTTATTTTAAGCATTACTAAATAAATCACTTTGTTTAAAAGATGAAAAATGCTCAGAAGGAAAATAGTGGAAAAAAAGATAAGAGTTTTTTTGCATATTTATGTTAGGTGAAATGGAGAAATCTTTATTTATTTCGAGGGGGGCAAAGTCCTAGTGCATCAAAAAACATGGATTTGGATCTAGAGATCAAACAATAAAGTGTGCCCCTGACAGCTGAGTTAACGAAAGAATGGTTTAAGAACCTTAAATGGAAAAACTAAAAACAAAATTATCCATGCTCTATTGTTTTTAGATAACATGCTATTCCCCCAATGAATTTTTCAACACATGACTTGCTTGGTTTCCTCCTAACACAAGGCTTTCTCAGTTAATGGATCAAAGAGTTATTCAAAATATCAAAGTGTAAAACAGTACAATTTAAATGGTCTTTACTCGCCAATACATATAATACATCTTCAGCCCCAGATAACTTGCAAATACGATCTATATATCAAACCTCTTGCTAATACAATCTTGGTTTTAGATGTGGTGATATGGATAAGTCAAGTTGTGAAGAAGGTGATGTCAAACTGTAACAAATTGCTTTAAAAACAGCTGAAATTTCTAGGATAGAATTTACTACTATAGAATATGAGCAGCAGGACTTGCAAAATAACACGAGTTGCTTTTGTTAACTTTAACGATTTATTAATAAACATCTCACAGAAAGTAGTAAAGAAGAGGGAAAAAAATATAGTCTTAAAGAAAGAAAATTGTGATTAGAAAAGTAATCAAGAAGCCAGCAACAACAAACAGCAGCAATTTGCATTACAAAGAAAAAATTAAAATTTGTTTGATAATATTTCTTAAGCTGGGGTGTTTGTTGAAAGCCAAGTAGCTAAAATTATAAACAATGTTCAAAAATCTCTTCTTGATTTCAGGAAAAAATAAGAAAAGCATGTGAGTAAATATATATTTTTTTTTCTGTTCTAATATTTAGCATGTGTTTTTAGTCAATACTGAAAGCAAAGAAATATAGGCATTGTGCAGTAGTTCATATAAGTTATTCATAAGAAAAACTATCATAGATTCATAAAACTGAAACCTGGCCCTAGTAGAAAAATTTTGATACCTACTGTGATTCCTATAAATACAGGTTTACTGTATTTATCCTAAAGAGAATGTCATGTTGGAACTTTATCTACCATAGCTCGATAAGGTGTAATTTTCTAATCAAATTGATTCCACAGCAACTCAAATCAAAAAAGTTCTCTAGCACATGTTTGGAAAACCTGTAATAGCCACCAATGCAATAACTATTGTTACAGATATTAATTGCATAGACTGAATGCAACATTTCTTCACTAGATGGTACAAATATTTACACTGGTCCAAGATACAACACTCTCAACATAAAACCTTTATACTAACAATTAAGATGCATATTATTTACTTATATTTCCATTTCAATTTTTTCTACACTTTAATATTTATTGATTTTTTCTATGGCCACAAAACTTTTCCAGCAAGAGGTTGGGACTAAGGGCTCTAGAGGGGTACTTGAATATGGGACCTTTAAATGAATAAAATAGTTTTGATTTCAAGGAAATTTTCAAAAAAACTTATTGATTTTACTATTCAGCAACTTAATTTACACAATTTATTCGAAATTTTAAACATTCTTTAAAAGGAAAAACATTTTATGAATAATTTTAAACAATTTATTTCCAATTGATCTACAACACTGAATTTTATAAACAAATTACAGAATTATTTTTGTTAGCCCATAATATTGTTATTCATAAAATATATAACCAGAAACATGTTTATTCTGTTTTTTTTTTAAAAATAATATTGTACTTTTTCAACCCTTACCAGTTGAAACTTAATCACATAATTACTTTAAAGCTAAAGCTATATTAATCACAAAAATTAGAAAGATAAAAATCATGATGTGTTTGGTTTTTACTTTTACCTAATATTCAAACTTTCTGAAATAAAATAAAAAATACTTTTTAAACTTTTTTTCCCTTTACTACTCCATCACCAACTATGCCAAATATTGAATGAATGAATATTATATGTGCCAAATATTGAATTATTAGTGTTGGCTTTAGTCGCCTAAAATTGAAGGGCAACTTAAGCTGCAATGTTTTACTTAATTTTGTCATTAACACGCATATTTTAGAAGATTTTCATAAAAGTAAATATAAAGTGTATCTGAGGACCTTACAACAATCAACCTCTTTAGGTTTGAGAGTATAACTTCCTCATTAACAAATTCACTCTTAACATATCAAAAATGCACATTGTGCTAAAAATGTTAAAAAAGTGATGAAATATATGTTTCAATTAACTCTGTTTTTAATTATAAAAAATGAATTTAAAAATACTTTTCTATTAATACATATTTAAGCTAAAAATACCATATAAAATATCTTTTTAGTAAAAAAAATTGTCACAAATGTTTACTTTTAGTTAAATTTAATAATTGCGAAGTGATTATGAATAAAAATTTTGAAGTATAATGGTAGAATTTTTTTAAAGATGATACAAAAAGTAAAATAAAGTTCTATTTATAAAAGAATTGTTTTGAAATATAGTAACACAGTAAACATTCAAATATAAATAATATTTATATGTTTATGAGTTTTAAAACTCAAAGACACAGCATTTTCAGTAATGTATTAATACTTTTAACCACCTTTTATTTGCATAAAATACTTTCAAAACATCAAATTTTGGCTAGCATGTCTACACATTAAACAAAAAAAAAAATTTTTTTTTGGGGGGGGGGAATACGGAAACAGTGTATTGGGTAACATCCTACAAAATTTGCACAATAGAAAAAGCTTTTGAAAGTTAAACTTGGGTTAATAATTAGTCATAAAAACAAAAATAAAGGAAAATGCATCTATTTTAGTTTAGTTATTTTAATTTCAGTCTCAAATGAACTTATTTATGCCACACTTAAATGCTTGATGTCCTTTTTTTTAAAATTTAATCCCTATTTTTAAACCTGATAAAAACTAATATTTCGCTGAGATGCATCAAATACATTAGATGTTCAAAAACTTTCTTAGTTTCTTATTCCTACAGTAATTATCAGTTTTAGTGAAGGATAAATGCATTGCACACTTTTGATTGAGTGAATGTTAATCCATAAATATCTTTTCTATTAACTTTGCTACATCATATAATTAAATATGCATCATAAAAACCAATTTTTATAATAATTTTTCAAAATCATTAAAAAAAGTTCATGATATATCTTATTCTATTTGAAATCAAAGGTTTATATGAGTTTACAATCATGCTATTAGAAATACAAGAAATACGAACACTAAATTAATAAAATATACTCGAAACATTTTATCATAGTTTGTTTAGAAAAGTTACATCAAATAAGTGATGAATCTAATAAAAGTTAAAAGTATTTATAATGCCAGAAAAATCAATCGAACATAATAATTATTGCATATTATTTTTAATTATCTTAAGACATTTTAAGTTAATAAGTAATAAAAAATACCATAAACAGAACACTCTTTATTGCTGATAGATTTAGTAAGGTGGGTGAAGTTTTACTAATTTTCAAATAAATTATCATGCATTATATGAGAAATATTAGTCGAACGATAAAATTTTTATATATTAAAAAGCAATTTTTGACAGAACATATTTATCTCTCTTATGGTGTTAATGAACTATATATCTCAAAACATATAACCTTTCACAATATTTTTTTGGAAAAAATCTTAGAGTATTTCAGTTAAACAGTTTGCCATTTGTTACTAAAATAGTGTAAACAAAACTACATACTTAACATAGCTGCAAAAAAAATTGTATTACTGTAAAAAATAAAGAAATAATTTTTATGGTTAGAAAGCAATAGAGAAGCTTACTTTTATGCCAAAATAATATAAATCTTGTATTTCAATATTTATTTGAAAATGAATAATGATTTTTTTTAAGCGTTTGCATGTGCAGAAACAACTGATCTATCATTAAAAGAAAAATGGTATGATAAAATAAATAAACCCTCAGAGCTTCCCACTTATATATCTTCTTTTCGCTCTTATATATCTACATGTTTTTCCCAAGTACAAAAGCAAAATAGTGCATAGCAGGGAATTTTTTACAGGCACTCTATGCTTGGTGGATAAAAAATTTTTTTAAAAAATACATAACATACTATAAATGTGCATGCAATAACATATATTCACGACTCTTTCAATCAATAAACATTGGAAAAAAATTTATTATTTTAAAATAAATGGAACATAATATATAAATTTTTTTATGAATAAAAAAAGCCTACTGTTAAACCATTAACTGACACTTCAAACATTTTTAATTAAATTTTAAGAAAGCATTTAGCAAAGAGTTGAATAAAAAACATGGTGTTTACAATTACTTTAGGTAAAATTAATTTTATGCATTTTAAGTTGATGATCAAGCAATACTATAATACTATTATTCTGTAACATATTTTTTTATAAAATCATGATAAATGAGTTCGGTTTTAAATCCCCCGAACAATATTATGAACTTCTGACAAAAAAAAGAAAAAATATTATGCTTTTCAAAAAATATATATCTTACTATTTATACACATTATGTAGAATTTAAAAAATAAAGAGACATGATTAATAATTTTTTGTTACAAAAAAAGTTTGTGTTAAACTTTAATACTTAAACTACGCAAAACTTAAATATTTACTACAGTAAATCATTTCAATATGATGTTATTCAGAAAAGGATTGGTGCATATTTTAAGATATTTAAATTTGGTCTATGTTTAATGCAGTTTAAAAGTTAGCCTACTGTCATATTAGCCTTGAACTTAAAGACTGATCTAATTGGTTTATTAATTTTGAATAATCGCTATGTTGTAATAAGTTTACTACTTTTAAAAGATTATAGAAATACAATTAGTATAGTTTCAATAGGCAAATATAGTTTCATATATAGCAAATATAACCTAGTTTCAATGAGGTAAACATTTTTTTTTTCATTTTTAACATCCAAAATTATTGATTTAATACTAGAATAAAGAATGGGTTTATCCTTAATTTTAATAACTACTCGACTTACCTATGAAAATTTCAAAATTAAATACTAAAGCTTAAGATTCTGGTGTTTTACTTTAATCACAAAGAATTTTATGGCGGCAATATGACACAGTTTCAAACTTTTAAAAGTTTTGCTTTTAAGAAATTTAATATTATTTCAATTATAACTGTTAGATAAAACAAGAGCACATATTACATTTTCTTTTAAATCCAGATGCAATACTTCAGTAATAATGGAAGTTTAGATTTTTGCTTCACATCAATCCTGAGAGACCACATTTTAAATAAATAAAAACCATTTTATAATAAAGGAATGAGTCTACTATATTAGAAAAATATTCTGAATTAGCAATATGTGTAAAACATTTTAGTTGTAAAAACTGATAGAATATGTAACACCATGTTTTACATTTAGAATTTATAAAATTGCTTCCCTATGAAATCCAAGTCTTTGCAATACTAACCACAGTTAAATAAAAAATAATGACTTGTTATAAAAAGTAAATACAACCATAATATTTATAATATTATAAGCAATAGTAGATTAAGCGCATATAAATATTTATAGACCTCAAAAGAAATTAATTTACTCTCTTTTAGATATATAAAATGTAACATAGCATAATGTTTTTGCATAACATTCAGTTCATATATTGAATTTCACAACTACTCGCTCAATAGAAATATTCAGTTTCTTGCAAGTTTGCAAAGAACATTTAAACAATATGTATCACATCTATGAATTATAATTGCGATGATTTAGAAACATTTCCAATTAATCTAGACTATTTTTGATGTCCTACATTTCAATATTTATTTAGAAAAATGGGATAAGTTTTCTTCTGGATATTTTTAAACAGTAAACACATTTACAGGCATAAAGCTGATTTCAATTTGCTTCAGAACATCAACATTATTGAAACTTACAGCCATTATTAATGCTGTTATAATTTCACAGCTTTAACCCATATCATTTCATCATTAACAACCATTTACATTCATTGCTATATTTTCAATAGTATTTATAATCTCAAAAGAAAAAAATATTGTACAGCAAATGTAACTTATTGAAAACTCTGTTTTCACACTTACTACGCCATCAATATAAACAAACACATCGTAAAGTTTCCCTCATACATTAGAGAAGATAACTTTTCCCATCGTTTATCATGTGTGACACAAACAACAATCTACACGACAGAATTACGATTATACCATATATTTTAAGATTTTAAATAGTAGCCAAGCTCTCATATTATTTTAAGGGGAAACTTAATCGCTATCTTTTTCTTCGTCTTCAGTACTTTCTTGCACTGTTGAAGTGGTGCTGACAGGGACATTAGGTGTTGGAATTAAACCATCTATCTCATCTGAGCTACTTTTAAAATCAATTTCAACTTTATACTCATGCTTTGAAATATATTTGACATACTTTTCAGGTGGAATGGGATTAGTTACAGATACTGAACGCACAGTAGTGTGAGAAACATAAGTTGCAGGCATGGTAAATTCAACATCTACAAATTGTTCAAATGATTCTGGTATTTGATCAAATGAGGTTAATTCTGTGCGAAGCAAAAACAACTGCTGTGTATATGCTCCTACAAAAGAAAGATTTTTGAGTTCTCAATTTCAGTATTTTTTGTTCTAAAGTTAGATAGATAATTTAACTTACCTTGACCTTCTTTAGGTAGACGTGGAATACGCCAAACTACAGCATGGAAGACATGTTCATATTTTGCTTGACCTGCAGATACTTCTATAAGACTAGGATCTAGATTTTGAGCAGCTCCAATAATACGTTCTAACCCCTATTAATACAACAAGGATAAAATTTACAAGAAAATTAAGAATATATCCAAAAATTGGATTTAAACATTTTTTTTAAGTCACCACAGTTACAATTAAACAATTTTTAGAATGTAATTTTACTTATCTTTGAAAACATTGACTGTAAATTAAAATGCCCCTCAGAAATGATAATGAAAAAAAGAGATATATCAAGAAAAAAAAATTCTTTGACAATTTAAAGAGCCTAAAAATTAATTTTTTTAACACTACTAGTGGCTGTGGCTTCTGCTCACTATCGCTTGCCACCCCTTTAATTTATTCAATGAATGCAGAAATTTGTTTAGACAGACAATTGTAAATTTTTGCAAAAGTTCAAACATTTATTAAATGAAATGTTCTTGCATATTTACAGGGGATAAATGCATACCCTTCAATATTAAAAGTTTGTACGAAATATCTTATCCAGTGGTAGTAAACTAAAGCATAAAGCTTTAAACAAAATAGAATTTTCTAACACTTATATGAAAACTAAAGATTCATATGTCTATTTGACTACAACCTCCTATATATATATATNTTTCTTATATATAACCTCAATTCAACAACCTTCAAGGAAGGTAAATATAGGATGAAGGACTTATAAGACAAAACAAAGCTGTCAGGATTACGTCAGTCTTTATGTATCTAGATTCATCATAATCAATCATTAAAACAATTTACTAAGCATTACATAAAATCAGTAGATTTGTCAGCTAAAAATTTGGTTGTAGCACTTATCTTTCATAATAAGCATTACATAAAATCAGTAGATTTGTCAACTGAAAATTTGGTTGTAGCACTTCTCCTTCATAATAAAAATATAATTTATTACCAATGAGTTATGCTACTTGTCTAATTGCAATACAATCTGGATCTACATCCCTGTTTACAGGGTATGAAGAAAAAAAATCTATCATGCTCCTCAATCCAAATGATAATTATAATATTTAAGTACATTAAGTACAGATATTATATTAATTAAGTATGGATGTGTAAATTTCTAGAAGGAAAAATTTTATAATTCAGTCTACTTCAGTAATAAATATACATTTAAAAATTGGTAATGAAGAATGACAATAATTACACTTTCTTAATTCTTAGCAAATTTAATCAGTGCATTAAAGTTTAATATATAAAATAACCACTATCATTTTCAAATTTTTTCAATCCATAATATCTTTTGAATTTTGCCTTAAACTTCCATAAAAAAGAGGTTATTTAACATGAAATTATGAAATATAAATCCTGCTGATTAAATCTAAATTATTTTTTCCAAAAATTAGTGCATCATCTACATAAAGAAATAACGCATAACATTTAAATATGTAAGCACAATGGCACCACTGTAATATTGTAGATCAGCTAAATCAGCAAATTATTAATTTTCAAAAACCACTCTCTAACATGTTGGCGCAATCTATAAAAAGTTCTTAAGTTTAAAAATAAATTCTAACGAATAAAGCAAAATGAACAACAAAATAAAATGTTTATATCTTTCTCCCTTCAACTTCCTGCACAATGATAATAAGTCAATATAATTGTTATATCTTTAAAAACCATTAAATTGATAAAAAAATAGCAGTATGAAACGACAAACAAAAAAGTTTGTTTTACTCATAAAAACAAATATTTTTTAAAAATTTGATATTTTAGGTCCTGCTATCCTATGTTAAAAAGTATATAACAGCAAATAATAAAATTTTATAACAAATTTATGTTTACATTCAAAACTTAATAAGCATGTTAGTAAAAAGGTGACAAAATGATTCTCTATTTAGGCAAATATTAATTTAGATTTAAAAACAATTTGTTCTTAAAAAGAAATTGAACTATTTAAACAGGTGTTAGAAACGCCACTGATCTCACTGAATAATGTGTTGGAAAGTATGCAAAGGAAGGAAATAACAGAAAATGATATGTATGCTTTGTCTTGATTCAAGGAGAATAAGTGAAAATGACTAAATACGATAATAGATAGACTAGGGCATTCCTAGGTAACAAGTCTCAAAGAGACGATTGATTTTTGAAACTTGCAAAAAGTTGAGGATTTATATCTGCTTTTACATGGGTTCAAGACCATATCGCTTTTTCCCTCTCCTGTAGATGGTGTCGATAACAACTTAGTCAGAAGAAATATGTATCTGTTTAAATTTCCTGAGAAATATCTAAACTTCTAAGTTTGGAAAATAATTTTTATCAGCAATAAATTTAAAACTATTTAGCATTTTTTATTATTTAAACATAACTAGATAAAAAAATAAGCAAGAGATTTCATCAAAAAAAAAGCCATTGGATACCAAAAAATTTTTTAGCGCCTCTAAAGCAATTTTGCACTGAGTCACGTTGTAGGCACTTTACTAATGAGGAACCTGCATGCTTTTTTTCATGTTTTAAAATGAAACATCATGCCATTTTATAAAGATAGACACCAATTTCAGACCGATGCGATAACTAGTTATTTTGTTATTAATAGTTAAAATCGCTCAATTAACCCCGCCCCCTAAATCACTGCTAGGTTTCCCATCCACTCTGATGACGTCATAGTATAGTACAACCACGACTTCCATCATGTTGTGAAACGGTGAAAGCATATGCCGTCCGAGTATAAATTCTGAAAAATGGTTCCAAGCAAAACCTACAAGTGTTGCATTGTACCATGTGCAATAGCTCTACATTAAACACGCCAAATAAATTATTTTTTAATGTACCAAAAGGAGAAAAAGGACAAATTTGGTGCAAAGCCATCAAACGCGATGAAAAAAACACACGTAAATTGTCTGCAACTACTGCATTATACTGTTGCTAAAACCATTTTACAGTAATTTACTTAATTATAATTTAATTCTATAAGATTGTTTTCCTGATTGATAAGCTTCTCTGAATGAATAATTCATTATACTAAATTAAAATGTTTAGGAAATGTTGTTCAGATCACTTTCTTTCTTTTTTCTTAAATTCTTTAAAATGAAAGGATTTTATTCTTAGAGAACAGTGGTGTACAGTTTCTTTTTTTTAAAGTCAAAAAATAATTTTATCTAGAAGAAAAAATTATCAAAGTTAAATTAAAAAATTATAATGATAATAAGCACTATTTACATTTCTTCAAAAAAAAATCAAGAAAATATTTTAGAAGTTAATAATAAAAAAGAATTTTTAAAAAAAATATACCTAAATTACAGGTCATATACCATTCATTCCATCCCCTCTAATTGGGATCAACTCATTAAATAAAAACTGTTCAGACATTTATATATAGACAAATATGAATAAAAATGAATCAATAAAAATAAAGGAAAATGAATTTATTTCAAAAGTTATTGACAAAAAAGTAGTTTTGACATTTATTTTTTCATTCCTTAATTTTATTTCATTACGCTGAAGGGTTTTGTGTTAAAAAATAATTAATTAATTTTATCTAGAAGAAAAAATTATGAAAGTTAAAATAAAAAATGATAGGGGCCTAGCATTATTTACATTTCCTCAACAAAAAAATCAAGGACATATTTTAGAAGTTAATAATATAAAAAGAATTTTTTAAAATATTTTATTTACCTAAAAACTTATAATTCCAGGTCATATACCATTCATTCCATTCCCTCTAATTGGGATCAACTCATTAAATAAAAAACTTTCAAAACAGTTCAGACTTTTATATATAGACAAATATAAATAAAAATAAATCGGTAAAAATAAAGAAAAATTAATTTATTTCAAAAGTTATTGAAAAAAAAGTAGTTTCGACATTTATTTTTTCATTCCTCAATTTTATTTCATTATGCTAAAAGGTACCCACAAAAATTTTCTCAAGGGGGAGAATGCAACTGATATACACTACATATATATTTAAACTATATATGACATAAACATGAAAGAAAAACAATTTTTTAAAATTGCAATTAAAATTAAAACCCCTTTGTAACACATTTCTAGATAAGAAGCTTTGGTTTAACTCCTCCCGTTTGCTGCGTTACTATACTTTGAAGTCATAAGCAAACCCCGCCTCATTTTGTGTCACGTGAGGTTAGTTTCGTTTTGGGCTAATTTTTAGTTAAGTTCTTTTTAATATTCAAGTTAGTTTTTTAAATTCTGAATTGATTTTAGAGAGTTTTAGGATATAGACTACTTAAAATAATCAACATTCTGCGATTACTCAACGCATGCAGGTTCATTATACATAGCTGCTGAAAAAACAGCAACACCACAAAAATAATATATCTGGTAAAATGGTGTAAAAAATATACGTTAAAAATCAAATATATTAGAAGCATTTGCTTACAAAAAAAACGAACAGTCTTTAGGAAGTAAGGCTTTTTGATTTTTAAAGAAATATCTGTTATTTTATATGGAGACTCGGTTTTTATTTTGTTCCATAAAAAATCAGGCTCTTACCTCCAAAAATAACCTAGGAGTTTTATCATTTTAAAAAGTAGTTTTATTAATTTATAAAAATTTTCTCAACTCATGAGTTGTGCTCCACTAGACTTATTCATTAATTTTTTCTAGTAGATTATGTGGAATATCTTCTAGATGTATTAATGTTCTTAAAAGGAAAAAATATTAATTTTTCCAAAATTAATGTTATGCAAAATTTTGGATTTTTTAACTGGGTACCATTCTGTTTCATCTAAAGAGATACTCGAACAGAGCCGAAGAAAATGTTCAAATGAAGAAAAATAATCAGTGAAATGACAATGTTTGAAAAATGAAATACAGTTAAAAATTCACAAATTTTTCTACAAAATATCACTTTATTGCCTTTATATACTCTTTAACAATGCATCATCAAATTTCAAATTATTTGGTTAGACATTTCTTAAAGTGACATTTAAACTGCTAAAATATTTTTCTCATTTTATATCTCAATATTTTGCAAATGCTGGACAGTCAAATTGACAGATTCCTGGCTATTTAGGTTAGTTGATTCTTTACCATAAAAAGAATTTTAGCAATGATTTACTGCTCATCTCATTAAATGCAGTACAGCTATTGGAATTATGAAAAGAAAGAAAAATATATGTTATAAGTTACAAAAATTCTATTGTCAGTTGAACAAAATATAAAACTAAATTTTCAATTTACAAATTTTATTTTTTCAACATGTTCAATCATAAAAAATGCAGTGAAATTCTAACCTTTATCTTTCCAGGTCTTCTAGCAGTTGACTTTTTGGAGCCATATCTAAAATGTTTCTCTGTGCGAAATAGATAAATCCAACATTCAGGAACTGGAAATCTTATTTGGATGTTTTCGCATGGAACTTGACCCTGTTTTCGGCTACTATAACCTGGTACCAAGATATCTGATCGAATTTCAACTCTTGTATTGCTGACTGTCATAAAGACACGAACCTATAATATATTGCACAACTCTTTTAATATTAATCTATTGTTAGGAAACTAATCATACTTAAAAGTAATTTAAGTAAATTAAATTGTATCATACAAAATATGAATCAAAATCATTGTATCGGCAAAAACGTGAATTAAATTTACACTAATTCCTAAATAATAAAATATAAAATATCATAAGATTAATATTATAATGCATAAGAAATGTAGTAAAGTCTCTTCTAAAAAGCCTAAACAGGAGGTAGGTTAAGTGAAAAGCATCAATATACAGTATTACTTGAAAATCTAGTAGCCAGAGAAAATTTTTAAACTTATGTCAAGGAAGAAAGTAGATATATCAATTTTAAACTGGAAACAAGATGCAGAAACTAATAAGATATACAAAATATCATAGTAAAAAATGAATATTAAAAAGCATGTGGAAATCCATAGCAATAAGTGTTGGAAAAGTAATCGGTAAAACCATGTGGTTTTAAAATGATAATTGAGTTCCATAAAGCATGTTAAAAAATAATGACACAAATTCGTGTGTTGCAAATGTACGACTAAAACCATCACCATTTTTAAAAATCTGTAGCACTTATTGCTGAAACCTTTGACAAGACCATGTGAATTTAGGATGACATCCTCTCCCAAAGAATGACGAGGTACTCAAATGCACTATTTAAAAAATGCATGTACCAAATAATAATTAAATAATTGAATTGAAGCAATAATTTAATGTTATGATATCCCATTAAAAATATTGAGATTTTATGCATGATTGACACGATTAAAAGTGATCGACAGGACAATACAGTGTAACGTCCCATATCCGGACGTCCCTTTCCCGGAAGGATCGACTTCCCGGACACTTTTTAACAATCAAAATAAACAAACATCTCTTGATCTTCCCCTCTCAAAAAAAAAAAAAAAAAAAAAAAAAAAAAAAAAAAAAAAAAAAAAAAAAAAAAAAAAAAATTTTTTTTTTTTTTTTTTTTTTTTTTTTTTTTTTTTTTTTTTTTTTTTCAATCGATGCTACTGACGTTTGAACTTGAGCCAAGAAATTCCAAAGTTGCGAGCTCCAAGAAATTCTAAAGTTGCGAGCTCCAAGAAATTCTAAAGTTGTGAGCTCCAAGAAATTTTAAAGTTGTGAGCTCCAAGAAATTCTAAAGTTGTGAGCTCCGAGAAATTCTAAAGTTGTGAGCTCCGAGAAATTCTAAAGTTGTGAGCTCCGAGAAATTCTAAAGTTGTGAGCTCCGAGAAATTCTAAAGTTGTGAGCTCCGAGAAATTCTAAAGTTGTGAGCTCCGAGAAATTCTAAAGTTGTGAGCTCCGAGAAATTCTAAAGTTGTGAGCTCCGAGAAATTCTAAAGTTGTGAGCTCCGAGAAATTCTAAAGTTGTGAGCTCCGAGAAATTCTAAAGTTGTGAGCTCCGAGAAATTCTAAAGTTGTGAGCTCCGAGAAATTCTAAAGTTGTGAGCTCCGAGAAATTCTAAAGTTGTGAGCTCCGAGAAATTCTAAAGTTGTGAGCTCCGAGAAATTCTAAAGTTGTGAGCTCCGAGAAATTCTAAAGTTGTGAGCTCCGAGAAATTCTAAAGTTGTGAGCTCCGAGAAATTCTAAAGTTGTGAGCTCCGAGAAATTCTAAAGTTGTGAGCTCCGAGAAATTCTAAAGTTGTGAGCTCCGAGAAATTCTAAAGTTGTGAGCTCCGAGAAATTCTAAAGTTGTGAGCTCCGAGAAATTCTAAAGTTGTGAGCTCCGAGAAATTCTAAAGTTGTGAGCTCCGAGAAATTCTAAAGTTGTGAGCTCCGAGAAATTCTAAAGTTGTGAGCTCCGAGAAATTCTAAAGTTGTGAGCTCCGAGAAATTCTAAAGTTGTGAGCTCCGAGAAATTCTAAAGTTGTGAGCTCCGAGAAATTCTAAAGTTGTGAGCTCCGAGAAATTCTAAAGTTGTGAGCTCCGAGAAATTCTAAAGTTGTGAGCTCCGAGAAATTCTAAAGTTGTGAGCTCCGAGAAATTCTAAAGTTGTGAGCTCCGAGAAATTCTAAAGTTGTGAGCTCCGAGAAATTCTAAAGTTGTGAGCTCCGAGAAATTCTAAAGTTGTGAGCTCCGAGAAATTCTAAAGTTGTGAGCTCCGAGAAATTCTAAAGTTGTGAGCTCCGAGAAATTCTAAAGTTGTGAGCTCCGAGAAATTCTAAAGTTGTGAGCTCCGAGAAATTCTAAAGTTGTGAGCTCCGAGAAATTCTAAAGTTGTGAGCTCCGAGAAATTCTAAAGTTGTGAGCTCCGAGAAATTCTAAAGTTGTGAGCTCCGAGAAATTCTAAAGTTGTGAGCTCCGAGAAATTCTAAAGTTGTGAGCTCCGAGAAATTCTAAAGTTGTGAGCTCCGAGAAATTCTAAAGTTGTGAGCTCCGAGAAATTCTAAAGTTGTGAGCTCCGAGAAATTCTAAAGTTGTGAGCTCCGAGAAATTCTAAAGTTGTGAGCTCCGAGAAATTCTAAAGTTGTGAGCTCCGAGAAATTCTAAAGTTGTGAGCTCCGAGAAATTCTAAAGTTGTGAGCTCCGAGAAATTCTAAAGTTGTGAGCTCCGAGAAATTCTAAAGTTGTGAGCTCCGAGAAATTCTAAAGTTGTGAGCTCCGAGAAATTCTAAAGTTGTGAGCTCCGAGAAATTCTAAAGTTGTGAGCTCCGAGAAATTCTAAAGTTGTGAGCTCCGAGAAATTCTAAAGTTGTGAGCTCCGAGAAATTCTAAAGTTGTGAGCTCCGAGAAATTCTAAAGTTGTGAGCTCCGAGAAATTCTAAAGTTGTGAGCTCCGAGAAATTCTAAAGTTGTGAGNATTCCAATGCAATTCTTTTATTCACCTCATTTAGTAAAGGATAGCTGTGTATTTTCTTTAAAAGATTTCTTTTCAACTTGTCAAGTGATAACAATCCTCCCCCTCTTAAGCCAGGCGAAATTAATATGCCCTTCCTTAACGTTGTTTTGACAACCACTAACGTGATTCTTTCAGTCCCACAAGAAAAAATAAAGATAACTCCATCAGCATGCCGCGCCCTAACGCTTGATTGATAACTTCCCCGCCCTCAACTTGAATGATCTCTTTACACATATTTTCTCTATACAAATAAGGAGGGAATGGATTTTTCTCCCCCACCTACCCACCTTAATGAATGACGGGGAATCCCGTTTCTTCCTTGAATCGTTCTAGTTCAAAATGGCGGATAGAGCAAATTAATATTTTCATTACTACTGTCAATTTTTTTTCGTTTTCTAAATTTTAAGCACTAATTATTTTTTTTCTAATATTTTGTTTTCGATTGATTAAATATCACATTCAAATACTAAAACATTATTGCCCAAAAAATAACGTTTATTTACTTTTTGCTTCTTAGATTCAGATCGTTTATTAGATCATTTTAAGCTTTGTTTATCTTAGGGGTGTATTATACGGAAAAATCTATTATCCGGACTTCGGGAAGTCCCACTGATTCTGGATACGCGACGTTCCACTGTATTTCTTAATTGAATTTATGATGAAATCCTGCAAACTAAATGTATAAAAAAATAGACATTATCTAATGGGGCAATTAGGAATTTGCATGGCATAATATTGTTCTGAACTATAAAGATTTTATAAATCACATGAGAATCTATAGATTAACTGCGAAAATAGTGACCAAAGCACCACATCAATTTATATTGCAATAAAATACATGCTTTTAAATTAGTTTTAAATCTGCAAATTTGACCACTGCATTGGTTTAAATAGGATGTCTAAAATCTGAAAATTCAAAAATCAAGACTTGCTTAGCTCCCAAGCAATCAGGATTTTCAAGGTTATGTTGTATTTTAATTCAGACTTCTGTTAGTAAAATATTGAAGATATATGGTGTGAACTGCAAAGTGAAATAAATATGTTAAAAAAATGCATAGGAAAAAACATTATTTAAAAAATTTCATTGAAATTAGGGCAGTTTATTTTTATCACTAAAAAATAATTAAGCCAGCTTTAGTATTCTATGGGATAGTAGTAACAAGTAGAGAAGATAGAAAGACATTATTAAATCATTTCTCTGGCAAGACCTGACTTTTCTAATTATGATATAAAATATGCCTTTGTCTTTGAACGACAGTCCAAACAATTCTACACCCCACTGACTTTAAGTGACCTTAGGATGATTTATCATTTTTCAACATTCATGTTTAAAACAATTTTGTAGTTTTATTGTTTTTTGCTCCGTTCAGTTATAGTAAATATGTGGTTTATTGAAGTCCAGTTTAGAAAGAGTCTATGATACAACTCATTTCTATTAATTAATTATAAATAATAGAAAATATGCATAATATTTTATATTATTCCATAAGAATAATTAAATGGATATACTATGCATTAATAATCTTGTGATTAAACAGTGTTAAGTAAAAACCAATATCCAACACAATTTTAGAAATGTCATGCTTCACTGAATAGATTGAATAATATAACTATCATTTTTATATCAATTATAGAATAAAACAGAAAACTAATTCAGAAATAATGACATCATTTTTTTCAGTTAAAAATACTTGAAAAAATTGAAATTTGTTCACTTATATGCAATTCTCTTAAAACAGAATTTAAATGCCAAATAATGAGTTATAACAACAAAAATCTGGTATTAAAGACATTTTTGAAGATATCTAATTGATTAATATAATTCTGAGGAATTTATAATAAGATATTTAGCTTCATAATTTTTAAAAAGTAAAACATATCCTAATGTATCAGAAAAATTTGAAAAATTCATATGTAAAAATTTATTTTCAATTTTGCTAGACATTTATGTTTAATTAATTTTTTTTTTTTTTAACTTGCTATTACTTTTGAGTAAATATATAACTCTGGTAATTCACTTACTTGCTTTGAAAAAAAAACAGACAACATTATTATTTATATATACTATTAATAACTATTATTTATATACTCGATACATATTAAAAAATTAATATAAGGAAAGAAAATATTTTGGGAAAAATTATTTTCATTTTTAGTGGTTACAAAGCATATATTCAACTGTACTAATATAGTACATCCTATAGTGTTTCAATAAAAAAATTTAACTGTGGTGATTAAATATTGAATAACAGCAATAACAGGTAACATAAACAGGCAATAAATATATCAAAAAATAAATTTACACAAGTCTAGTGTCTAGAACGGGTAGTATTACAATTGACGCAATAATCATATCTTTAAAAAGGAGAAAAAACTATAGGATGCCCCACTTTTTTCAAAAACACCATATTATATGTTCTAGTACTATCTTTTTCATTGATTTTTTTCTTACTTTAAATGATAAATCAAACCTGGGGAAATAACTTTAAAAAAATAATAAAAAAATTTTCCGATATAAATTATATAGACAATTCATAGAAAAAAGGAAAACACGTTTGAAATAAGATCTAATATAAAGGTGCACAATCTGCAGCCCGCCAATTCTTGCTATGCAGCCCGCGGCTGCATCTGAAAAAAATACAAAAAATTCCTTTTTTTTAAAAAAAAATTCAAGTTCCAAGTTTTAAAAAAACTTATTCTTAATCAACATATTTTTTTGATCGCTTATTTTTGTTGATTAGCGCTATAGATTTACACAGTTTTAAAAGTCTCAATATTTTTAATACCACATTATTATGATACACGAATTTTGAATTTTAGTCATTACTTTTAACACTCTTCATGTGCGCAAATTTAATTGGAAATCCAATTACTTTTCCACCGTTTTTTCAATAGTTATAGCTCTGCACTTTGACAAAATTTCTAAAATCACAATTTTTTAAAATATGTATTAACATCTTCAAAGTTTTCAATGGTGCATTTAAATAAACGCATTTTACATGTGCTTTGAAAGGAATATGCTGAAAACTGAATGTTTTTTTTAGAGTAATCAGTTCCGCAGTACAGAATTTTAAACATTTAGAAGCATTTAATTTTAAGCAAGCATTTTACTAAGCTAAGTGATAAAAAGAATTCAGTGACTAGAACATTGATATTTATATAACAATTACTAACTATAATTGCTGTCAACATGTTTGTCTAAATGCTTGGGCATGCAGCCCTTTATTGGTCTATCTGCTGTGCAGGTAACCATTCACTCAAAAAGGTTGTGCAGCCCTAATCTAATACCGATAATTTTAAGTTTAAAATCACTTTTCACAAAACCTCTGTTAGAGCATCTATATAAAATATAAGATGCAGGCGCTTTAAAACTCTGTTTTTACAAATTTACAACAGGATATTTGCAGAAAAACTAATTTTGAGGAAACAATGATTAATCTCAATTTAAATATTTTGCATTATATTTGTATATTTCTTAATTACATATCTTTCTACTTTGATATTGATCTGCTAATTATTAAAAGAATAACAAATTTGCAAGTGAATCTAAAACATTTAAAACAAGATATAGTATAATCCAAAATTTAAGACCACCTAAATCAAAAAAGTAAAATGTGACGCTTAATATAATCACAAACATTGTAATATAAACATAAGAAAGATTAAACGAGGAGGGAACTTGCAGGTCTTCTAGTGTTCCTCTTTTGAATAGCAAAAAAATTACTACAAGTTAAATGACCGATCCAAACACTACCCCTTCTAGACATTATAACACATTTCAAAAATAAATTTAATCTGGAAAATTCATAAATCATATTTTTATAAACCTGTAATGGAAGTTCTCTGTTTTTTGGAGGACGAATTCGAAATCGCAACAACTCAAATAGACAAGCATCAGGGGGATGAAATCTAAAATAAATAATATATTCCCAGTATATTAAAATGGATTTTAAAACATGCCTTAAAATGTTCAAAAAATATAACTTTTAAATGAATAGCTTTCAAAAGAAATAATATTAATTCAAAACTATTGATAGAAAGCGTGCATTCATTATGTATGTGTGATCTTAAAAATAATGATAATACATTAATAAAACCAAGCCAAGAAAATGACAAACAGCAATGAAGAGCAAACAAGATAAGTGAACTTTTACTTTTGTTACATGAAAGGAAGAGAAAAATATATTAATGAACGAGATGTAGTCCAAAATCGTCTAGTGAATTACCGTATTTTTCGGCGAAAGCGCCGCTTCATCACAAGCGCCGCACCTCGATAAAAATGAATTTTTTAAAAAAAAAGTTACAGTAAGCGCCGCAATAGCACTGAACCGCGTATATCAGCATCCTTTCAGAAGAGACCTTTAAATTACCATTTAGAATATCTGTATAATAAAAAATTACATTTTTTTATGCATTTCACAAAATAAAGTTTTAATTTCTAAATTATAATAAAAAATTTCTTTTTCAGCAAAAAAAAAGCAACAAAAAAAGTTTTCTCTTTCAGCAAAAAAAAAGAAAAGAAAACAACAAAACTATATAAAATAAAGTTGTTCTTACTAGTTGGCACCGCGCCAAAAAACAGAAGAACAGCAAAAAAATATTTATATGTTCAGTAGCTGAATTAAGGCTGAACTGATTACAGGAATCCGTAAAACAATGCAATAAGAAAAATAAAATAAAAATTTATTAAAAGAAAGATTTTAAAATAAAAAGATTTTAAAATTTATTACCGTTAACAATTTGAGGAAAAACTAATACATAATAACGAAACAGCTAATAATAACGAAATAACTAATAATAACAAGAATAAGAAATAACTAAACAGGCCCCAAAAAAATTCTGAAGAAATTAGCGAACGGGAAATAAGTTTCACTTTCACAATCTTTGAGGGTGGAATTTTAGTGGGTAGAATGCCCTCTCCTTCAATGGAAATAACCCAATGTGACTCAATATTTAAAAGGGGTTGGGGAAAAGAACAGGGTATGGGACCCCTAATCCAGCATTCCAAAATTTGGCACTTAATCTGATCTAATCTTTTTTTTAAATTTTTTTTTTTAAGAAATTTATATTGATAAGACAAAAAAAATCAGCTATATTCTTTTTATTTGGAATTTTATTCTGTTGAAGTAACTTACTTTATTTTATCTTTTAAAAATAAAAAAGCTTGAAAAAAAAATTATAAATCTGTGTCAAAAGAAACATCTGTTTCTTAAGCAGTTTAAAATAAAGTGAGAAGTAAAAACACTTGCATTTCCAATGAACAAAATAAAGAAATGGAAGTTGGAAAAAACTGATCAATCAATCTTGACAGCTGTGCTTGTGCTTTACCCCCAAATTTCCCTCTTCTGTTTGACCATAAATTGGCCACACCCAGTTGACATTGAAACTACCACGTGGACAACAAAATGAATTCTATCCCTTTTGCGGTTTTTTATTCGATTCATAAATTTTTTTTTATTTTGCCGCTTTTTATTTTTTCTTGTTAATTGTTGCTTGCTTTTTTTTTTTTTATCGTTATTAGTTTTTAGCTTGTTTTTTGTTGTTATTCATTGTTAGTTTCTTAGCATTAATTGTTAAAAAAAAAATTTTTTTTTTGTAGTTCCCTGTTAGCTTTTTTTTTTCTTCTTGCGAGGTAAGCGTCTTTTGTTAAAACAAAATGTTATCTAAAAGAAAAAACGAGAACTATGATCTCGCTCCAAAGAAGAAACGATTATTTCTTCTTCATAGGATTCTGATTATTTCTTCTTGATTATATTATATAGATTATTATTTTGATTAGTAAAATTTCTCTTAAGATGGGCCAGTTTTAAATTCACCCCATCATAATCTACGATCGAAACTTGACTAAATTTATTGGTTTTTCTGAAATTAACAGTGGAATTGAATTATAGTAATATTTGGGGGCCATATTGGAATTTCCGAAAGAGATCCGAAGTTCGGCATTTCGTCAGTCCCGTGAGTGTCGGATTTAGGGTCCTATACTTCCTTTTCTGTTCGCTCAAATTACAATTGCCAAGGCGCTAAATAGATTTCTAGCTTGCGATTTTTCCTTAAGCTGGGGGTGGATACAAGATGCATACCTTTTAAATTTTCTCCTTATGCGATGTTTTTTTAAAATTATTATTTCGTTTATTTATTTTCTTACAGGCTGCTGCCAAAAAGTTTGCTAAGAATTGGCGATGTTCTGCAGCAGATCGCGATATGGGCGAATATTTCGTCGACTTCGCTATTAATTTTTTTAAATAGTCTTTCTCTCAGAAAATTATTCTATCTTAAATAACTTTCCTTGACTAATTTTTTTGCTACTAAAAAATATTTCGTCGGAAGCGCTGCATGTAGGAAAAAAACAATTTTTTTTCCAATAGCGCCGCGGCTCTTCCGCCGAAAAATACGGCATATTACTTTAGTAAGTATATTTTATCACTCTAGTAGAACAAACTCTAAACACTATCTAGATTTTCTTTTTCTACAAAAAAAAAAGAACGTAACTTTAGTAGAATATAAATCTCAAGTTGAAAAATTGAAATTTGACCTTGAATAACAAATATTCTCAGAATCCAATTTTACAAGATTTTTCCTTAAACTTAAGAGTACTTTTTACATTAGTTAACCAAGCATTCTGAATTCAACAAATTTTGATGCAGTATAAAAGACTTATCAAATTTGTAGGATTGCAGGTTATTGATTTTATTACTGTTAATAAGTAGACTATCTATGTTGGTGAACTTGAGGCACAACATTCCCTTTCAAAATATTGAACCAGAATCAGAAGACAATGACTATTCAGGGCATTAGAATAGGTTGGACAGGAAAAGCCCAACAACATTTTAAATATGAACAATAAAAGTCAAACTATCCAGAATTTGACTAACTGGAATTACGGGAAATTTCAGATATAAATTTCTTAAAAAATATAAATAAGTAACTATTAGAATATTTTAGTTTATTTTCACATTATCTTTATTATTTTTCCATAAGCAGCAATTCTCATATATCTTTGTTTTTCCTTATGGGGCAGCATTTTTCAATAAATATTATACTATGAAACAGTGAAAAATTCGGCAATAAATAATAAAAATAAATTGTGCTATTTTATAGCATTCTTCTTTTGTACATTGTTTCCATTTTAGTTTTTTATTGACAATTTTAATTATTTCTATGAACAGTTATTTTACAATTCATTTTTATTCCACAATTTCAGTTTTATTTTTTATAGACTAATTTATTAATTTTTGCAGACAATTTGTATAGTTTTCCCATTTATATCATTATTAATTTTTGAAAACTATTGATTGCAATTTTTTTAAATGTGGAATTTTTGGCAGAAAATAAGGTAATATTAAAAATTGAAATTTTCAGAGCTCAAATATCTGGAATTTTCACTTATCCAAAATTTTAAAATTTCCTGCATATTTCCGATAGTCGAACTTTTACTATACCATCCTCATGATCTTAAGAGTTAACCTAACAATCTACCAGATTAATTTACGTCATTTATATTGTCAATCTTGATGCGGAAATTAACTGTCCATGTTCTATGACAGTACATGTGAAAATTGAAGAGCATCAAACTACTCAACATTATTGACGATAAGGAGAAAGATTATAATTTGTTTGTCAAATAAGACTCTTTATTTTTATGTTAATAATTTAAGGACTAACAATAGATATACTTTGATATATACAGTGAAACCTCCTGTTATGGACACTCCTGCAAAACGGACGCCTCTAAATACGGACATATTTTTAATTCCCCGGGAATCTTCTATGAATAAACCATTACGTACATTCTCCGCAAAGCGGACACTCCCGTAACCGGACACGGACAGTCATTTTGATCCTGTAACGTTGTTTTTTATCTCTACAAACCGGACACTACTTTTTCTAAATAAATTGCAAGATAAAAAAAAATGCAACTTTTCACCATTTTTAAAGCATGTAAATAAAACTTTTTGCCTTATCCATAACTAAAAATATTGTTAAGCTATTTCATCA